TATAATCTTACTAAAGGGGCTCTGTTTGGGAGAATAGAATTTAGTTACTTTCACAAACACTTAACTCCCTTTACTAAAGGTCACAAAATAAAGCCAATGGAGAATTTTCCTACTATTAATAGGAACATGCAGTTCTTTTTCACTATTTGGATGTTTTTAATTATAAATCAATAAAGAAGTTCCCTGCTGAACCGTGATGATATTCTGTCTGCAGTTACTGTAATACGCAATTCTGTTTCTTAAAGGCAGACAGACATAACGTTCCCTCATAGTGTAAACCAAAGAAGATTTTAAAGCATTGCTCATCTTCTCACTTCTTAAATGGATTACTCTGCCAGTATCTTATTCTATTTCTCCTTTTTAAAAATGGCACTAACAATTCATGTTACAGAGGGAGGTTTGTTTTTAAATAAACCTCTGTGATATGCAGACCTATGCTGGGATCATACCACCTGCTTGGAGTATTCTTGTCATCATTATTAGTGGTTACATGTTATCATTCCTCTTTATCACCTGCCTCTCTTGGGTAACCCAGAATACCTAATAATTTGCATATACATTTAGGTCAGGCTCTGCTTTTTCTTACTAAAAGACCTAAAGAAACACACCATCATGTGTACACAATAAAATCTTACACATCACATCAGAATACTATAAGGATCTGTAATTAAATGTTTAATCTTTCTAGCACTGTGCTACAGGAAAGTCTGAACCTTAAATTAATCACTGCCAACTGCTCCATAAAGCTGAGATGTCAGTAGTAAAATTAAAGCCCTTGGTATGCAGACCTCTGCAGTTTTGGGTGTTTAAACGTGCTAGGTACATATAAAAGATCAAAAGGGGTGAAGAAAAACAAGCATTCTTTTTCTCCAGTTCATTGTACAGAGCATGTAAGCTGTAGAATCTCTACATGTTCAGCACAATGGCTAGCTCCTAGCCACCAGTTTCATTCCCTTGATTAGTCATCTGAACAGTTTCAGTAATTACTAGCACTTGCAGCTCTATGCCAAGGGAAAACAGGGAGAGAACTACACTGAGGAATGTGGGAGAGAAGTGAATTCATTTCAAAAGGAGGAAACCTTCATGGCAAAACCTTTGCATTACCCTGCACAGCTCAGTTTTTCTTCTGCACCTGAAGCTGAGAGAAAGGTACTGGCTCGAAACATTTTTCCTTACACCTTGTGTGAGAGCAGCATAAACTCCAGCACAGTGAGCTGTTTAACCATTAGCCTATTTCCAGGGAGAAAACAGCTGCACAGAAATCTCTGCTGTGTACCTGAAAAGGAAACTGTGCATTTATTACTTGCTGTGTCCAGCAGCCAGTTGTATCAGACAGCGAAGTGTTAACCTTGCTAGCCCTTGTCACTTTCAGTTATTGCTTTAAAAGAGATTGAATGTGCACATCAAAAATATATAAGAAAAGAAATAAAGGAAAATCAGTGTTCTATGCTAGTGTCAAAACAAGCAATCATCCCAAAATAATAGTCTGTCCCTTGGAGTCTCGTGGTAGGTGTCAGAGCAAAAGGAATTCTATTGCACGAACAGCTAACAATAAGGCAGATGACAAAAATCTTACTCACCATGTTTTACCATTCAGCAGTAATCCTCTCTACTATAGTCTTGTTGCTGAGGCTGAGAATCTTTATCCAGAGGCTCCTGTGATGCTTTTCAGACTCTGAGGGGCTGTACTACTGCTGCTCTCCACTGGTATTCTCCACCTCCTATCTTTTCCTCCTCCTCCTCCTCCTTCCCCTTCCCTCATCCTCCCACCCCCCATCCTTCCAGCTTGTAGCTTGCTGTACCCTACATAGATTCTAGGTTTCCCCATGTAGCTTGATTTAGGAAAGATGTTTGTTTCAGCCATCTGTTTGGTAGCAAGTAAATGCCTCACTTGCTCAGGGGCAAAAATTGAAGGTAAACTAGAGAGCTCACAGCCAACATCCTGGTTATACTACACACATAACAGGTTTGGAATAATTCAGGAGCACATTTATTGTAATTATATTTCTCCCACCAATTTTCATAGCTGACTGGAATACAAAAAGACCAGTCTGAACAGATACTTCTAGGTTATTGGAATGCATCACTGTTCAACATGTATCACCCTTTGAAGAAATGATTTAAAGGGGACTGTTATGGCAAGAGACAGTGCTTTCACATATACTACTTCTGATATTAAAGAAGGAATCTCACACTGGAGCAAACTGGGGACAGGAGGAGAGGGAATATTTATACCAAAAAATGTAATTGGCTAGTATTTGTCTTGGGGGGGGGGGTTAAGTCACTGAACATGTTTTGTTTTAACCAGCTTTCCTTAGTAAGTCAGTCCAGTTTTTGCTTGATTTTTGCAGTGAAGGCAAAATTGGGGGTTATATCAGGGGTGCTGGAATAATGAGTATAGTGGGGGTGCTGAGAGCCATTGACCCAAACTGTAAACCCTGCATATAATGGAACCACTTCAAGTCAGGGGGTGCTGCAGTACCCCTTGTACCTCTACTTCCAGCACCTACGTATCGTATCACAGTCTGTTATGGAAATGAATTTAATATCAAAATATCGGGGCTTAAATTCCATGTCAGTGTTGAGCTAGATCCTCTTCCTCTCTTTCTCTTTCCCCTACTCCCCCCCACCCCAAAAAAAATACTCTAGCTATGGAGGGGTTGAAAATTGGGCAGAATCCCATATTTTTAAAGGGAAATTAATTTTGCCACCTTAATCCCCTGTACCTCTCCTCCTAGCCTTCACCTTTCCTGTCTCCTCTCCCCTTGATTGTAGCAGCTCCTGGGTTTGGGGCCTGAGAGGGCTTCTCATATGAGGATTCTCCTGAAAACAGAACACTGTTTATACATAATGGTCTAAAACACTAGTGTGAGCTGTAGCTTGGGATTGTACTTTATATGTGGGTGTGACAGTTCTCGGTGTACCTTCTTACCACTACCTCTAGGGAGAGGTACCTTGCCCATGATGGCTGGGGGTTAGCTCCCTAACACCACCAGCCTATTAGCCACTCAAGTGCCCTCCTCTGGGCTTTGCCAGCCCTGTCTTTTCACCCTACAGGCTAACAAGAGGTGTGCCCCAATCCCCAAGTCCCTCTGAATCATTCCCCTGTGATATCCAGCCCCTGACACTGGCTACTCACAGGAATCCCAGATCCTCTGCCCCCAAAGGAGCAGTGTGCCCCTGTTTTACCTTAAACCCCATAGCATTTGTAATAAAACAAGAGAAGGTTTATTTAAGAAAGAACAAGGATTCAACTAAAGCCAAGAGAGAGCAGCAGAAACAAATGGTTACAATGCAAAACAAAAACCTAAAGCACAATGTAGGGCCTACACTTAATAGCTACCTTGCCTATCTAATACAGTAGGTTTTCCTTCCAATATTCAATCTGTTGCACAGTTAGATGGCTTCACAGGAACCAGGATCCAAATTTCCATGAAAAACACTCCCACTCTGCAAGCTATTTCTCCAGTGAATGGATACAGAGTATCTGTCCCCATCCTGTGTCAGACAGAAACAGTCGTTTGTCTTTACTCAGAGACAGGGTGCTCTCCTGTCTTTTGTAATGTTCCTTTTTTTCCCCAGGTGCTTTCAATCATTTGCAATTGTCTCTGATGGTTTTCCAGTGCAAGTCTTGGGATGGAGCAAGACTGGACAACTGAGCCTTGCTTTACATTGCCTGCTAAATAGAAGGGTGAACACCCACTCCTGTTTGAATGGGCCATCACCACGATACATTATCCCCTGGTGATTAGCTTTTACTCCAAGTCCAAAAAAAAAAAAAAATACTTTCAATATACAGTAAAAGCTGGGTTATCCGGCACTTTACCAACTGGAACGCTCCATAAACCGGCATTTCTGATCTAATTGAAAGTCTGGTTTATAGTCCAGTTGGTGTGGAGCTGGAGTTGGGGCGTGGGAGAGGGTGAGGGGTGTGGGCTCTGGGAGGGAGTTTGGGTGTGGGAGGGGGCTCAGAGCAGGGGGTTGGGGCGCAGTAGGTGTTTCAGGGTGCTGGATCCAGGTGGTGCTCACCTAGGGCAACTCCCCGCAAGCAGCGACATGTCCCTCCTGCTCCTAGGCAGAGGCACGGCTAGGCAGCTCTGCATGCTGCCCCCTCCTGCGCCCCAGCCCTGAGCCCCCTCCCACACCCAAACTCCCTCCCTCTTAGTAAACCAGAATTTTTAACTTACCAGCACCCCCATTCTCCCAACATGCCGGATAACAAAGCTTTTACTGATAGACAAGGTGGGTGAGGTAATATATTTTATTGGACCAACTTCTGTTGGTGAGAGAGACAAGCTTTCAAACCGCACAGAGTTCTTCTTTGGGTCTGGGAAAGGTACTGAGAGTGTCACAGCTAAATACAAGATTGAACTGATAGTTTAGCATAAGTAGTTAGCACATATTCCAAGGAACCATTCAAAGTCAATGCTACCTACTTATGCCAAACTATCTGTTCAGTCCTGTATTTAGCTGTGACACTCTCAGTACCTTTCCCAGACCTGAAGAAGAGCTCTGTGTAGCTTGAAAGTGTCTCTCTCAGCAATAGAAGATGGTCAAATAAAAGATTTTACCTCACCCACCTTATCTCTCTGTCTTGGGACTGACACAGCTTCAATAAAACTTCATACTTTCAATATGGTAACATTACTCTTTAAATATTACCCATTCGTACATCTCAGTGACATTGGCACTGACTCTGTGCCCTGGAGCACCCATGGAAAAAAAATTAGTGGGAGCTTAGCACTGACTGGCAGCCAGCTCCTCCCTCCCGCCCAGTGCCTCCCATCTGCCGGCGGCCCCGCCGATCAACTCCTTCCCATCCCTCCCATCGCCTCCCACCCACCATGATCAGCAGCATGTAGGAGGCACTGGGAGGGAGGAGGAGCAGGGATGGGGTGGAAATAGGCAGGGCGGGGCTGAGGTGGGGCCTTGGAAGGGGTGGAGTGTGAGGGGGGGTCCAGAGCGGGGATGGGAAGAGGAGGGTAGGGGTGGAGGTTTGGGGGAAGGGGTGGAGAGTGGGTGGTGCTGGGGCGGGGGGGGGGGTCGAGCACACCCAGGTAGAGAGGAATTCAGCACCTATGCACAGTTATATTGTCTTGATAAGGCATGAGATTTCTGTAGATACCTTGCATGTTACCCCATATGGATAAATACCCTACAAGACAGTGCCTCAGACTTGCACTGATTCCAAAGCCCTGACTATGATTTCCCAGAAGGATCAGCTAGCAGGAGCTGGCCTGTGAATGAGCAAACTGTGTTTGAACACTAATAGCTCTGGAAATTGGGTTAAGAGCAATTGTGAAGAAAGCCATGTGAGATAGGAATGGATTCACATGGTCTGATATTTTTGACTTAGCATGAAATATTAATATGTATTGAGTTCTGACTTCAGAAAGCTTGCTACACAGATGATCTTGGCTTTGAGGAGCCCTCACTTAGTGTGTTCTAATAAGGGATGAGAAAACGTTAAAGGGTTTAAGCCCTTTCTCTAAACGAAGTTAGCGCATGTTAAAATGCTGGCAGATATTGCCGATCAATCAGAGGTCACATGCTTCATGTGTGCTGATTCACTGCTGAAGTTCAAGGTTCTCAGTGCCCCAAGAGAGATCAGGGGGTTTAGATTTGTGTCGGCAAAAATGCCTGCATAAAATCAGCATACATGATTACTGGGATGCATTTTTACATGTGCAATTGTGTGCATACAATTCTAAAGGTCTGTACTTGTGTGTGTAATACCATCCACAACACACAAGCAGCATGAAACAAAGCTGCAGTGTTAAGTTTGTAAAAGCACAAAGTAGACAATACTACATGTGCCGTCACAGAAGAGGAAGACAAATCCTCACCATGGATGTAGGTAGAGCAGGGCAGACACATGGTGTTGGTTCCAGCAGCGTAGCCCCTCAGGCCTTTCCAGTACTGCCAGTTCCTAGGATGAAATCTGGCTCTTTCTTCTTCTGGAATTGGTATAGGCCTCTCAATAGTCACCCCTTCATCTTCCACCTGATGCCCATTCTTCCCTGGAGGGAGCAGGGGAGATCCTTCTTCAGACCTGGAGGATGGACTCAAGTCTCCTAATTCAGAATCTCCATTCCAGGGGCTGTCCGGGGCACACTCAGAACCATTTGGGATGGGTCCAACGCTCAGATAGACAGCTCCAGAGATGAGGGGATTTCAGCTCCTGGGGAGTTCACTTTCTCGCTCAAGCTTCGCTAGGAATGCCTTCTTCGGGGCCTGTCAGGTCCCTGTCATAGACGGAAGGAAATGGGAATTATGAATTATCAAGCACATTAGTTAACTACAGCGTTGCCATAGTGATATTTTGGGCCCAGTCCTGCTCCCAGGTTAGCCATTGGTAAAACTCCCATTGAGCTACATGGCAGCAAAATCAGGGCCTTTATATGTTGCCATATAACTCACCTTTTCAAAAAGTTGTGAAATATTTCACAGTTTTATAAACTATTCTTTTCCCATCACCACCTCACTGCTTAATTGTCAATCCCAATATATTTCTCTGTAGATCATGAACTACTGGCAAACACTGAAGCCAAATTATTGAGGGTAGTTATTAGGTTGCTATATGTCAGTGGTTCTCAACCAGGGGTACTTAGAGGTCTTCCAGGGGGTACATCAACTCATCTAGATATTTGCCTAGTTTTACAACAGGCTACATAAAAAGCGTTAGGGAAGTCAGTACAAACTAAAATTTTATAGACAATTATTTGTTTATATTGCTCTGTATACTATACAGTGAAATGTAAGTACAATATTTATATTCCAATTGATGTATTGTATAATTATTTGGTAAAAATGAGAAAGTAAGCAATTTTTCAGTAATAGTGTACTGTGGCACCGTTGTATTTTTATCACTAATTTTGTAAGCAAGTAGTTTTTAAGTGAGGTGAAAATTGGGGGTACACAATACAAATCGGACTCTTGAAAGGGATACAGTAGTCTGGAAAGGTTGAGAACCACTGCTATATGTCACCATTCAGAGGAACTGTACTGGTATTCCCCTCTATGATTCAGCAAGTGCATCCATTCTCAGGCTTCTGGCTCCCGGATTGTTGCCTTTCTTGGGTGGAGAGACCCACATCTCACTCCCTCCTGCCTGGGATATTCCCAGGCTGAGTAGTTCCCTGCCTTCACTGTGTTGGTCCTAGCAACAGACAGGCTGCCTAAACTGACCTGCTTGCTTTCTCTTTAGAGGCTGATAACAGTGTAACTGCCCTCAGTTATAGTTACCACACAGCTCTTTCTATGCAAGCTTATTCTTTGGGTGAAAGCATTACAGAGAAAACATTCAAAACAATAAAAGAACCTACATGTATGCTAATAAGCTTCTAGAAATCTCACACACACACACACCCCCGCCAACTCTAACATAGGCTGTGGTAGGAGCAGTCCTTCAAAAAACCCAAAGGAGCCTCTTTTATGGTCACAAGTTCATAACAACCTCAGCTCAGAACTAGCACACTCATGACAACTTTGGTCCATCCTTTATACAGTTTGGGGGGGTTTTGATCTGGAGTTTCCAGGAACAGGTAAATAATAAACTGTGGGTCTCTCTACCCAGGGCATAACTTCAAAAGGCTGGCTTTGGAGGGGAGAATTTTTGCATTTCCCTCTTCCCAAGTACTTCCTACGGAACCCACTTCATGCATATTGTCCCAAAAAAGCCCTTTGAAGTTCCTAATATTTTCCAGAGATTGCATTATTCAGTCTCCTAGAGAAGTTATGTACAATAACACATACACAATTGCATTTTTAATACAATGGACTGAAAAGGTATTAAACTTTATTCAATAAAGTTTAACTTTATTCCATAAGATTTATCCAGGATATTGCACCATATTGTCAGTCCGTTACATCTCACCAAAGGCAAACTATGCTGTTTCAAAATCATCTGTCGGCAGAAGTAGGCAGCTGGTATTTCAGTACAATAGACCTACGGGGCAGAAAAAAAAATCACTGGAATAATTCAGTTTAAGACAAAGGAATTATACTATGGATGAATTTGGCCCATGATATATCCTGCCAACATATCAAATCTCTAAAAACTGAGACTATAATGATCCGCAGCTGAGTTTTCTGCTAACATCAGCTTAAACTTAATTATTCATACATTCTTATCAGTATTCAGTGATTTTTGTGTGTCTAAGGGCTTGTCTACACTGGCACTTTACAGCACTGCAACTTTCTCACTCAGGGGTTGTGAAAAAACACCCCCCTGAGCACTGCAAGTTTCAGTGCTGTAAAGCGTCAGTGTAACAGTGCACCAGGGCTGGGAGCCGGGCTCCCAGCACTGGGAGCTACGCCCCTCATGGAGGTGGGTTTTTTTTAGAGTGCTGGGAGAGCTCTCTCCCAGCGCTCTGCCGCGACTACATAAGCCATGTCAAAGCACTGCCACAGCAGCGCTTTAACATTGCCAGTGTAGACTAGCCCTTAGAGTATTGGTAATGGGATATAGAGCCCTTCACCTCCAGGTGACTAGCATGTAGGGTGACCAGACAGCAAGTGTGAAAAATCGGGACAGGGGGTGGGAGGTAATAGGAGCCTATATAAGAAAAAGACCCCAAAATCGGGACTGTCCCTATAAAATCGGGACATCTGGTCACCCTACTAGCATGAGTCTGACTGAGGCTGGAAGCAAACAGTCATTGTTACTAGCTAACTACTCTTCAGCAGCTTACCTGAGGTTAATTGCTGGTCTCATTTCAGTAGTTAGTGAACAAATGGCTGTTGCACAAATTACAATCACATATTGTTACTAACAGAAACAATGCTTAGCAGTTATATATCGACTTGTTTGTCTTCACAGGATTTTACAAACAACTACATCAAAAATCTCCTGTTCCCTCTCACCAGTTGTGAAGTTCTGTTATCTCCATGTTGCAGTGAAGGAGGCTGAGGCAGAGAAGTTAAGTGGTTAAGCTGGAGTCACTGCTGACATCAGAATTAGAACTCGGGGGTTTCCTGCCTTTCAGACAGACTTCAGTCTGCCAGTAATGGTGGACTAAGTGAACACAAAGGGGTGCTGGTGCCTCCAGGCTGGAGTCATTACATTTTCAGTGTTGTGATTCTGGCGACTGTCACTAGGAGAGGAGAAAAGAAAATGGACATTTTTTCTCCAAAACTTCTCATACATTTTTTGATGTTCATCAAACTTCCTTTAAAACAGAAATGTTTTGACTAGCTCTAATCACAACCAATAACTTTAAAAAGCCAGCCTGCAGTATTTCTACTTCAGAAATGTAAAGCTGCATTAGAACCCCCCCACAATTACTTTACAAGTGGCTAATAAAAATAATCATGAACATTCACCGGACCCTGTAGCCCAGTAGTAGCAAATTACACAGTACACATACAACAGCAATGCCCGCGTGACTATATAGGCACAGCCACATAAATACTAAATACAAATAGAGGGCTCATATTTAGAATTCTATCTCATTCCTGATGTTCCACAGGGCGTAATTTAGACATGATCATGTCACAGGGTGACGCTGACTCTTTAAAGATCTGTCTACATAGCCCATGGCAGTGAGCCTGCCAGCCCAGGTCAACAGACTCACGCTAGTGGGGCTAGCGCTCTAAAATTTGCTGTGTAGACAGCACTTTGGAGTTGTGGGCTCGGGCTCTGAAGCCTAGGGATGGGGTGGGCTTCAGGTCCCAAGCCACAACTTCAACATGCTGTTTACACAGCTATTTTTAGAGCACTAGCACGAGCCCTGTCAGCCTGTGCTAGGAGGCTCGCTGCCATGGGCTGTGTAAAACACACTCTCAGAGAGAACAGAGCCAGTGCACCTGTGATTCATCTGCTACCTCCAGTTGGGCTTAAAAGAGGGGACCTGAGCCCATGTGGGTTCCCACCACATGGCCTGGTGAGAGAGGGTCGCCTTAGAGCATGGACTGAGTCAGTCTGGAAAAGGTCATGTGAGAGCTGCTAGAGGCCAGAGAGGGACTGTGGAAGGTTCCAGGTGAAAGTGTTTGTTGGTTCCTGAAGAAAGGCTGAAGGCAGGAGAGCAGCAAAAGGGGTTTGCTAGCTGACCTCCCCAAGCCAGTGATCCGGGGCCAGAAGGCTGGGGGCCAAAGAGTAGCAAAGGGCATTGCCTGTTGACTTTTAAGCTGGAAAACTGAAGCTGGTCACCACAGAGGCATGAAGAGGGTGGGAGGGCTGGGCAGCAGAGGGTCTTAACCACTAATGTCTCCACCCTGGAAAGCTGAATCCAGGGGGACAGTGGAAAGGCCAAGGGGAGTGAGTGATGCTCCCCGGGTGAGGATGATCTCCCAGCAGAGAGATTGTGGGGATTCCGGCTGGGAAGAGTAGGATTCCATCTAGCTGGCTGTCCTGGCAGAGGGACAGAAGAAGACTGAAAAAGAGCCTAATTGTGGCGGAAGACACTGGAGTATGGTATGGGAGGACTTCCAGCAGAGAGCCTTTGGGGGAAATGGGGGGGAATTCCGCTGGGAAGAGTGGGGTTTCAAGGACCACATGCACTTGGTATGGGAAATGGGTTGTATTTGGTATTTTTGTTGGGGATTATTTTAATTATGTTTGGTAATAAACCAACCCTAAGGAGGGGTGTTATTTAAGCAAGAGAGCCTGAAGTGCAGTTGCTGGGGATTCTGAAAGGGGAAACTGAGGCAGGCAGGCCTGTTCTTCTGCAGGAGGGTGCTCCAGGAAGGAGCCAAAGATGTTTTCACAGTTACAGTAAATAAGCAGTGAAGCTGAAGGCACTGAGCTTGCTAAGAGACATTTGGTTAATGTATCATGGTTATTGACAATGTCAAGGTCAGCACTGGGGTTGGAGCTACAGTAGTTATCAGCAGGTATTAACATACAGTATTTTATGAGCCTTCCAGCTGGCAGGCCATTTAGACTGGGGTGATGTGCTGAGCATTGCTATTTGTACCCATTCACAGCCTTGCAGGCTCCAAGGCACTGTGTAACAATGGCAAACTCATCTCTCCCTGGGTTTCTGATTTTTTGACAGGTGATTATTAATGCTTTCAGAGCATCTGTTCTGGCTCAGCGGTGCTTAGCCTCTACTACAATGTTATAGATGGCTTTTCTTAACATGCAGCCTCTTCTCATTAATAGCAGAAGCATCAGTGATACATAGGATAGTGTGGTCGCTGGGAGACAGGAGAGAATGCTGGGAGTACACTGAAAGCTGAACTCACCTGGGGATGGGAAAGTGCCAATATATTACTCTGATGTCGCCTGTGTTCTTCCTGCTTTTGTTCAGAGATGTAGTGTGCCACTACAACAAGACAGCTTTATTTAAGAAAATCACTAAGAAATGGGTTTTGGAGCTTGAAATACACTGATCCTGGGGATTTCTTGCCCTACAGAAAAATGAACTGTGGCCTAAGTATTCAAAAGTGTTTTTTGAGTACCTCAGTTTCTGGGTATCCGATGTAAGATACCCTAAAGAGGTATGGTTTTTCAGAAGGCTGGGAGCCCAGCACTTTCTAAAAATCAGGCCCCTTTAAGGTGTGTCTTTAAGGCTAGGCCCCCAAAATCACTAGCTGGTTTTGAAAATCAGGCCTTGGATGCATGGCTTTGTACTTCAGCAATATTTTTAATACACCAAAAGCTCACAAAACCCTGAGCCAGAGAGTGGTCTTATATGGACTGTGTAGTCAATAGCTGCAGCCATTATGCATTCAATATTTCGCACACAGCCTGCACCATTCGAACCTGACTTACTGAGAGAGTTTTCCTCTGGTCTCGTCACAAAAAGTGCCAGGGGATCTTTAATTTCCATCTGCAAAACAATTAGAGACCAACAGAAATATAGGTTTAACATCTGCGTAGGCTGATGAAGTGGGTCCAACAACTGCTACTAAGTCTGGGACCATGTTGGCAGTGTGCAGTGACCCAGAAGTGATGAGGGTCATGGAGCTGTGAAGAGAAGCTTGAGCTAGCAGTGCTGTGTACGTCAGCTGCTGCTCATGTCTTGCTGCAGGGGCCTTTCGGGGAGGCTATACGCTACCCACAACCATGGGAGTACATGGAGTCAGGCAGGTTCCTCTGCCCCCACTTCTTTTCTCTATTCTGTACCTCCCCAGGCTAGCATGGATGTGCCCCAAAGTAGCCACCCCAGGCTTAGAAACATTGCCTAAGCATAACAGAAATTACATCTCTTTATAGACTCTTCCCTCCCTCGCCACTGCCCAGGGACTTATGTGGGGAGAGGAGATAGGGAGAAGGCAGTTGCTGCTGCTATGGGGTTGGGGTTCAATGTTCTTCCTTTGACATGTTACTGCACATCTGGCTCTAAAATAGTGTGGCTGTCCGGCCTCCTAGTAGCCCCACACCCTTTCAGCAGGAATTTCCAAACAAACCTGTGTTCGTACAGCACCTAGCACAATAGGGCCCTGGTCCATGATTAGGGCTCCTAGGTGCTACAAGAATAGAAATCATAAATAACTTCATCCTCCCTTCCAGTGTTAGTAGATGTTGTGATCTTTTGACATAGTCTAAACGTATATTGAGTTCTTGGCTACTCTGCTATTCTGTTGATGAGTGCTGGCATATAAGCTGCTGCTATAACAGTGTTTAATGTAACTTTCAAATGTATATTTTATTTTCTACTTAGTAAAGAGCTTGAGTTCCACATAAACTTTGTGATGACTGGGCAGTGGGGGTGGGGTTAAGTTGTTATTTCAATCTATAAGAGGATTGAATATCAGTATGATGCCAAAAACCATCATTTTAGAAGTCAGTAATGCTCAGCAGAGTGTGCATTCGCCAGTCAGAGTTTCAACAGTGAAACAGAACTCCATGTAGAAGACAGCGGGCCAGATTCTCAATGAATGTGAATAGGCGTCGCCGCACTGAAGTCAATAGAGCTATACAGATTTGATGAGCTAGCAGCTGATGATCTAACCCAGTAAAAGCAGTCTTGTAAATTCTGCTACTCCATCGGATCTGTAATAAATGAAGGTGGGGGGGGGTGTGAGGGGGTAGCTCCCTTTTATGGACACCCAACTAGCCAGTTAGCTGTAAAATCCCTCTTGGGATCTGTTCTCTGCTTGCTTTACCTGTAAAGGGTTAAAAGTCCCCCAGGTAAAGAAAAGGAAGTGGGCACTTGACCAAAAGAGCCAATGGGAAGGTAGAACTTTTTAAAATTGGGAAAGAAACTTTCCCTTTGTGTGTTGTTCTCTCTGGGCTGCAGGGACATAGAACAGCAATGCTGTAAGCAGCTTAAAGCGAGGTATGATTATAGATTATCAATTCATACCTCAAACCTACTTATCTGAACCCTCAGATATGTAAGTAAATTAGGGAATGTCTAGAAAGACGCGATTAGGGTTATTTCTTTTATTTCTTATTGACTTGTGAAGTCCTCTGTGCTAACCCCAGATGCTTTTGTTTGCTTGTAACCTTTAAGCTGAACCCCCAAGAAAGCTATTTTGGGTGCTTGATTTTTGGAAATGCTCTTTTAAAATCTAGCAAAGCCTAAGTTCCAGATATATTTTCTTTCTTATTGTTTTTAATAACATTTACCTTTTTTAAGAACAGGGTTGGATTTTTGGTGTGCTAAGAGGTTTGTGCATGTTGTTTAATTAGCTAGTGGCAACTGCTAATTTCCTTTATTTTCTTTCTCAGCTCTTCCCTAGAAGGGAGGTAAAAGGGCTTGAGGGTATCCCACAGGGAGGAACTCCCAAATGTGTCTTCCTGGGTTCCAAAAGGGGTTTGGCATTTGGGTGGTGGCAGCGTTTACCAAGCCAATGTCAGAGAAACGCTGTAACCTTGGGAGTGTAATACAAGCCTGGAGTGGCAAGTATTAATTTTTAAAATCCTTACGGGCCCCCACCTTCTGCACTTGAAGTGCCAGAGTGGGGATTCAGCTTTGACAGCATCTAAAAAGCATGGGATCCCCATTATTCACAGGGACATTGCACCAGCTGCTCATCTTGGAAACTTGTTACATGGTATTTTTCTCTCTCTGGTGGCATGGAGGCAGGGTTTGAGGACAGGACAGGCAGAGAGGGAACATGGCCAGGCGAATGCCTGTGTATCTGGGCGGTTAACGGTTGCTACCAGTGTATAATTTGTGCCAGGGCTTGCCAGGAC